ACTTCCCATCATGTCGACGAATACCTCAATGAACTTCTGCTTCTCTTTGAGAAGTCCTAGACTAGACTACCGGCGACTTACCAGAGAAGTCCGCCAACTCACCATGGAACTTTTAATGGAAACCCAGGTAGATCGATAGTCTATAAGGTTATTCACAATTATAGATAGCAAAACTGCAACCTGCATTTCATAAGCAACTTATGAGCAGGTGAAGTTTCTAATGATGCAGTAGGGTGGAGGTTTGGTGGTGACCTGTATAAGCGAGGAATCGCATACGTCAAATCGAGTCGTGGTGGTTCAGTGGTAAGGTTCGACGTTCGACGACTCGATTCGACGTATGCGATTCCTCGCTTATGCTCACCACCAAGCCTCCACCCTACTGCACCATTACAAACTTTACCTGCTCATAAGTTGCTTGTGAAATGCAGGTTGCAGTTTTGCTATCTATATTTGTAAATAACCTTATACTATCGATCTACCCAGGTCTCCATTCAAAGTTCCATGGTAAGTTGGCGGACTTCTCCTGGTAAGTCGCCGGTAATCTAGTCTAGGACTTCTCAAAGAGAAGCAGAAATTCATTGAGGTATTCGGCGACATGATGGGAAGTCAAATGCATTGAAGAAGATCGGCCTCAGTTCGGATATGGATGTCACGGTACATCGGTGAAGATCCCCAGCGAAAGGAATCTTATTTTGCCGGTGGAGCGAGAGATCAAATTTGCCTTGAATATAAAATGAGGGATAGGGGGCCCCCGAGGAAATTTTGAGGAGATGTCGAATTTTGCGAAAATTTTCCTTGAACGCAGGACGTGCTTGATGAAGGTACGACGATGCGTCATGGCGCGCTGCAACCGCTGCCCTTTTCGTAACATTCGCACTCGGACCCCACTAATTTACGCGAAATCCTACAATTTCACAACTGCGTGTTAACTCAGCTAAACAGAGAAGTAGTGGACTCGGGTGAAAAAAGCACCACAAATCAGGTAATTTATACGATGCTACTAGCCTTGCAAAAAGACCTTAAAACCTCTGAAATATATTGTGGACTTGGGAGGACAGATGAAAGGAATGTGCTAAAATGTACATGGACTGACGCGGCCTTAAACCTATTACCGGATAGAGCATTGTATGATGTATTTAGTAGGCGTCAGAAAAGGTAAGCAAGTACCGAACCCCACTATTGTGCGGCTTCAACGCAACATAAAAGAAGAATAAGAGCTAAAAATGAGAAGAAGTATAAGCGTGAACAAGTATGTGTTTGCTTGCTTCATCAGCAACAATAGCTGCAGTTTATACTCAAGAAAGGCGGGGCGTGGCTAGTCACCTCCTTGGAACATGGCGTAGAACACGTTTTCCGTGGAATAATTCCATTTAAACAACTGTAATCCTGCCTTTCGATGGACATTTACATGATTATAGTTGTCGCAAAACGGCAATATACCGCAAAGATGCATTCTACGCCATGCTCGAATGAAGTATTCAGTCCCGCTCTCATCACATCGGGGATACGGATTGTAAGTGGCAGCAATGAAGCTTACCAGTAACGGATAAGATCTGTGTAACAGCGGCTGGCTGGACAAGATTTAACGTTATCGCATCGTCTTTTGAACAATTCAACAGTTGCTGGACAGCTTCTCGAAGAGCGTGATGTGTAGCGAATGGTCCGAACTTGCGACGAATCCCAGCAACCTTAAATGTGATCGTTCAGAGAACCCGCGATAGCTCCAGTCAATAGTAAGGATACCATCATAGTGCGTTCACACTTTGCGCCAGCGTTTCGAGTACATAGCAGTGTTTTGAGCGTCTAGGAATGTTTAGATATCAACTTAACCAAAACGGGAACCCAACAAGGTCGATACCGGCCCATTTACTATGGGATGTATACGGTATGACGTGTCTATGAGCCGCTGAATCGAATCTGCACCTCCGGATTTTGCCGGCACAACGACTTCTCCAAGGGAGTTACGGACATTAATCTATTGCTGTGTATTGCACGAAGTGACCAGGAAAGCGCACACACGTCAGCCCTCCAATTTGCAACGCAATGGTACATCATGTAACTCTATCTTGCTACGATGGAACACAAGACGTATCTTTTAAAAATTTGCGGACACTGATTACTCTGAGCCGGTAGTTCGTTGAGGTTTTTCTCTTCATTGCTTTTCTTCTTCAGTCCGGCGCGTCCAGCGCCAAAGCGTTAGCACCTGTAGCGCAACTCACAGCGCTCTTCGCGCAAAACAGGTATCATATTCGTGTTCAGGGGGTCAAATAACCCCTAGAGACGTCACCCCAGCGAAATCCGAGGTTCTGACTCATTTCTCAGAGGAAACGATTGGTATGACGTAGCTGTGGCTGACTGATAGCCAAAGCGATACCACGACTACCATACTGATGATGACTGGTTTTCCAACTGAAATACCTCTTCATGTGCCTTTTCGCAAAGACATTACCCGGCTTACTTATTCTTGCCGTTTGCATCATCGTCCTCTTTACCACGAGGTAGTTCCATCTCGAGACCATTCACCAACGGTAGGTGAGCTCCCCTATGCTTTCGATTACCCATGAAACAGCACACATTTTCCAAGTTACGGTAGGAAATATCAGATTCGGCTAGAAATTTGTCCCCAGGGTAGTTTGACCCGCTGAACATGAATATGATGGTATTTCATTGCAAAAACCCTTGTGACATGTGGTTATCCTCATAATAAAAAAGTTTTCAAGAGGAACCCTTTACATTCGGGCCGAATCGCCGCCTTATCTTGGCAACTAATCAAGAAATTAGGCGAAATGGCCAAATAGAAACTTTTCGAGGACTCATACCAAGTGTTTTGAATGAAAAGCAAAAGACTCTGATAGCCAAGGATTCCAAAGCATTTTCGACCTCGCCTGTGTCTCTTGAAGCAATCTCTATCTTACTCACCTAGGCACGCCGGCCTTGCCGCGTTCAGCTTTATCCTTCTCCAAACTGAGCAAACGGAGCTAAGATTAAATGGTTCGTAACTCCCTTTGGAGAATTGTTCCGCAAAATCGGAGGGCAGATTTGGATTCGGCGGCTCAAGACACGTCCATCTTCACTATCATCTTCCACTGCAAATTGGCCGCGGTACGAATCCTCCTATGTTTAGATATCAACCTAGTGTTTTGAGACTAATGCTGGTGCGCCGGCGTACGTTCAACGCTCACGCCAAGTATGAACGCACTTCAAAGGATATATAAAAGCGCACAAACCATGGCAGGGTCAAGATGAGGACCAATACGACAAGAATAATTGACGAATACGGTCACTAAAATGATTATCTGTTTGAAAAAATTATCAGCAAGGAAAATCCCGCAATAAGGGTAAGAAAAAAAACAACGTATCAAATACTCACTTAATCTCTCCTTGAGCGGTATTTCGTCCTTAGACAACAGCAAAACATCATGTGATCGTTGTTGGTTAGTGGGACTGGGAGCCGCTATAGTGGTGGTTTGTGGCAAGGAGCTCGACGAAGGCGCTGGCGAACCTGACTCTACTCTTTCTTCCGGGTTAAGCTTGGGACGAATCTGCAATGGAACAATGGTAAGGCCCTAATAGTAGCAGGGACTAAGCATCATCACCCGTACCTGCCCAACAACTTTAGCGAGATCGCGATTTGCTTGAGAAGACGACGGACGTGCTACTAGTGGACGTAAACCCGTAGAATGAGGAGCGTCGACCGAAGCCGTTGTTGAGGAAACCACTTCTTCAGCTTCATTCTGAAACTGTCGAAGATAGTAGAGATTAGCTAAAGAGTATTGAGTAACTGGCGCTATGCGGCTTGCAGGAGGCATTTTGCGCGCTGCGAAATAGTATAAGTGAACTACGAGAGTTTACTAGTCGTCAAAAAGCCTCATACAAGCCGAACTACGACGAATCACTTGTTTCAACGCTACTACTCACCTTAATTGGAACGTATTGTGCATCTGACAGACGGGATGCTGGCGCACGAGAAGCAGGCAACGGAGGCGGACCACGTACGGATTTTGGTGAAGACAAATACTGGAAAGGTGCTTCTTTATAATCTAGTTAATTTTGGTGGGCTCAAACCTAGACTAGCCCCCTTCTACTAAGTTTTGATTGTTACTTCTAATGGGACTTTCCTGGCTAGATTGAAAGTGTTACAGCAGAACGAGCGGAGTTC